TTTTATGTTAATAGAAAACGCGATTCAAAAAATCTGCGTGGCTGGTCGATTTGTATCACAACTTGCAAGTCCCTTCTTATGTTAATATAGTTTTTCATTTTGTTTTCTTGTCTCTCTTCCTCCTCGCTCGATTCAGAATGGCGGATTTTAAATTATTAGAATGTGGAGGACCTTTCTATCGTTGAAAGAAAAAAAGAAGGAGATGGAGGACTTGGATTGCAAATCGACTAAATTACCGTTTGAGTTTATACTTTATTTATGGTTACAGTTGTTAACATGAATTTAATTGCACAGAAAACGAGTTTTTTTATTAATTAGGATTAAATTACCGTTTGAGTTTATACTTTATTTATGGTTACAGTTGTTAACATGAATTTAATTGTACAGAAAACGAGTTTTTTTTATTAATTAGAGTTAATTTTAAAAAATGTTGCATGATTAGTAGTTAGTGTGAGAATTTGATTTTATATTAAAATAATTTTTAAAATAAGATAATTAAAGTTATTATAAAAATATGAGAGATATGATATGAAGTGATGATTAGTTAAAATTATGTGAGTGGATGAATAGTGAAATAAAGTTGATATGATTTGATAAATTATTGGTTGATATTATTTCATTATATTAATAATATTGAGGATAGTGATGTAGAGTTAAAGTTGAGTTAAATTTTGAGTATGAATTGAATGTAGATTTAGTTAATTCATGTAAAACACATCCTAAAGGGAAAGTTGAAAGTTAATTGTGCCTCTTCAATCTAGAGTAATTGTAGTGCCTCCCTCGGCGACGGCGTGACTCCGGCCAGTTGTCACCTCTAACTGCTCGGCCCAGCCCTGAAATCGCGAGCCTCCGATGCTGCTGTATGGTCTACGACTAGAGTTTTGCCCTCGATCGCCGACGGGCCTGCGATTTGTAGTAGGGTGCTTCTCGGTCCCGATGAGTCTCCGACTGATCTGTGATGGCGGTCTCCCCTCAGTCGTTGGTGTGTCTTCTTTTGTTGGCGGTTTGGCCTCAATCTGTAGCTTGTCGCTTTCCGGTCGGCTCCGCCTTTTCTGATGGGACTTTCGGTCTTTGGTCGTCGAAGGTCAACAGTGTTGTTGGGTGAAGTGCGGTTTCAGCGGGTGGGGCGGGGCTCTGGTAGCTGTGACGGTTCGCGTCGGGGAAATCGGAGTTGGGAACCGAGCCACTGTCATCCCCCGATTCTCTGACGTTGGGGACGGTGGGGGGTCCAGAACTCCCGAGCTTGACTAGTGGTGTTAGTTGAGTTCGGGCTGTGATGGCTTGAGAAGCTGGTGTCGGCGTTCTCTCGGTTGGAGGTGGGTCGTTTTGGGGTTGGTTCCGGGCTCGGGTTCGACTTCTGTATAGGCTGCTTCGCAGTTTCGGTAGGGGTGCCTGGGCCTAGGGATCTTACTTGTATCCATTGCTTCTCGGCTGGTTTGAGCCTGTTTGTTTGCTGGGGAAGGGCTTGAATGTGGTTTCTTTTGTTATTTTGTTTCTCTTGTTTATTGTTTGTGTTTGTGTTTGTGTTGTTTAGGTCTGTGTTTTTTGTTTAGGCCGTTGGCCTCTGTGAGCCCGAGTGTCAACTTATTATCCTGTTGGGATCAGATGTTCGAGTATTATACTATTGGGATCTTTTTTAATAGTTTTCGTTTTTATTTATGTTGTTGATTTGGTGTAGTTGCGAGTTTGTTATTCTAGCGTTGCTAGGTGACTAGGTCAGACTCTAGGCGATCTTTGGATCTGCCTCACAGTTTTTCAGTCTTTGATTGTACTTTTCAGCTGTTGGCTACTTCTCTTCGCACTTTGTGCCATTTTTATTTATATAAAATCTCTATCATTTTGAAAAAAAAAAAAAGAAAGTTAAAATTATTTATTAACAAACAAGATATATCCATATAATAGTAGGAAAATATTATACGGCTCCAAGTCCCTAGAAGGTCCAAGTTTTGATTATTGTAATTATACACATTTGAAAATTTTGAGTAGTAGTCACTTGTCCAGATGTCATTGTCTTGACAACTTTTTTTTATTAAGGATAATTACTAGTTATTATTAAGGATAAAGTGCTTGTAGTTGTGATTGAGATTTAGAAGATGACAACATTTTCTCGAAAATAAAGATAACAATGGTTGTCAGCTATATATTGGGTCCTTCTATGATCATGAGAGGATTGAGGCAAAAAGATTAGCGGTTCGATAAGGATAATTTTTTTACAACTTTATAATTTAACATCAACATTAACTTTAATCTAGCTTAATCTCTTCAGGGCACATTTATTTGCCTAGATAAGATTAGATTAATTAAATTTACATAGACAAGATTGCATTGTTTAGACTTGAGTGATTCTATGTTTATTTGCCAAGACTAACAATGAAATAGATTTACGGATAAATTTGTGTAGTGATCTTGCAGAGATTTGATTTTTTTGTTTTTCTTTTTTTTTTTTATATATGATTTTTCTGTATTAATTGCTTTATTGATTTTTCTATATAAATGAATAATAATGGAGGAAGATGATAGAGCTGGGGAGAGAATTTGAGGGATAAGTTAGAGAGAACATAGAGAGAGAAATGACAATAACCTGTTTGGCCATACACAATTTCCCCAATTAGTAACAGCATGGCCTCGGGCCCACCAAGTTTTTAACCCAAAGCGGGTAAATATCAAATATGTCTAACAAACCCATAATGAGCCGCCGATTGAATTAATGCCAGTTTCTTTGCAGCGAACAACTAAGGATAGTATTCGGCGTAGCAGCGAAGAAAAAAAGAGGCCGTAGTAATGTAGGTGATGAGACTTCGCTTTGAATTCTCACAAGAGCTTAGATGCCATCCTCTTTTCCATCATCTGGTCACCATCCTTGCATGTGTCCGTTCCCAGCAACTTAACCAAATTCGGACCAAACCCTACTCCTTGTCTCATTTCCTTCTCTAATCTTTGACTTCAAGCCATTTTCCCTTTCAGCACATGATGCCTTATAGCCCTCAACAGAATGGTATCGTTGAGCGCCGAAATGGAACAGTGGTAACAACGGCAAGGAGCATTCTCAAGGCCAAGGGTCTACCTGGATGGTTCCGGGGTGAGACGGTCATCACGGCTGTGTACCTGCTGAATAGGTGCCCGACTAAGAGCGTGGAGGGGATGACACCGTTTGACCCGTGCCACGGGAGAAAGCATATGGCGCACCATCTCAGAACGTTCAGTTATATATTCTATGTGTGCAACACAACACCGTACCTAAAGAAGCTGGATGACCACGACCGCAAGATGATCTTCATTGGCTACGAGCATGACACCAAGGCGTATTGTGCCTACGAGTCCATCACGAAGCATGTTCGCACGATGTGTGTCGTGGTGTTCGATGAGCAAGCCCATTGGGATAGGGGAACTAGTGGCGACGACGGCAAGCTAAGTGGCGGTGACGACGTGTTCATAGTGGAGTACACCACTGCAGGCCAAGCCGTGTCTGAGGCTGATGACGCCATCGATGTGCTTGGAGAAGGAATGCCAGGAGAGCAATTACCACTTCCTAGCATGGCTCGGGACAAACAGGAGCCCAGTTCATCGGATGACATTAACGATGATAACCTGGATGCCGACCACAACGACGACGTGCCTCTCCATTTCGCAACGTCGATGACGGCATCGGGCCGGCCTCGCCACAAGGCTTCGCACCGGGCGCATTCCTAGTTAGAGAAAGAAGATGATGGACAACATGGAGTCCATTGAGAAAAACGGTACATGGTGCGTCACCAATCTCTCACTCGACCGTAAGGTTATCATGGCGAACTGGGTGTTCAAGGTGAAGAAGGACGAGCATGGGACGGTGACCAATCACAAGGCGTGCCTTGTGGTGAAGGGTTATGCACAACAGCATCACGTCGACTACGATAAGGTACTCGCGCCAGTTGCCAGGTTGGACTCGATGCACCTCCTTATTGCCCTTGCGGCGCACGAGGGGTAGGAGGTACACCACATGGACGTCAAACCAGCATTCTTGAACTGCGACCTGTAGGAGAAAGTCTACGTCGAGTAGTCGGCTGGTTTTGTCATCAGTAGCAAAGGTCCTCAAGGTTCGGAAGCCGTTGTACGGTCTGCATCAAACGCCACGAGCCTAGAATGCAAAGTTGGGCGCCATGCTGATGTTGCTCGACTTCAAGAAGAGCGCGTCAGAGCACGACATCTACATCAGGCAAAACGATGACTCGCAACTGGTTGTCGCTGTCTATGTCGATCATTTCGTGATCATGGACTCGAGGTGCAGCGACATCAAGTCGTTTAAGAAGGAGATGGCAGCCGCGTTCAAGTCGAGTGACCTCGGCTTACTTCACTACTACCTCGACATTGAACTGATGCCAAGCGCGAGAGGAATCTCGCTCAGCTAGGTCGACTATGCTGGTAAGATTATGGAGAAGAGCGGCATGGATGGGTAAAATCCCTGCCAAGTGCTTATGGTGGCACGACTGAAGTTGAGCAAGTTCCTTGGAGCCGGCAGTCGACTAGATGGCGTACATGAGCATCATTGAGAGCTTGAGGTACTGGTTAATACTCACCCCGATCTAGCTTTTGTTGTTGGAGATGTTAGTAGATTATTAGAGGACCCACGTGAAGATCACATTACTGTAGCGAAGGACATTCTGCATTATATGGCAAGAACCCAAAATTGGGGACTCTAGTTTGGCATAAAGGGGGAGAATGAAGCTCACTTGATGGGTTTCAGTGACACCGATTATGCTAGGGATGTTGATGCTAGCAAGAGCACAATATGAGTGATTTTTCTTTCTCAACAGCATCCCGATCACCTTGTAATCCATGAAACAGAAGGTGGCGGCACATTCAAGCTGTGAGGCAGAATACATAACAGCTGCAAATGCTGCTAGTCAAGCATTGTGGCTCGCTCAGGTGCTGGCTGAGGTACAAGGTTCAACACCAAGGACGTCAATGTTGAGGGTGGGCAACAATCTGCTATTGCCTTAATTAAGAACCCAGTACTCTATGGACAGAGCAAGCACATTCGAGTGAAATATCATTTTGTCTGGAAGTCTGCATAGGAAGGCTTGATTAATGTTGAGTTCATAGGAGCGAAGAACAACTGGGCAACATTCTGACGAAGCCGCTTGGGAGGACCAAATTCCATGAACTACACTCTAAATCGACCTGATCAATGTCAACAATGTGCACAAGGCTTAGGAGGAGATTGTAGTAATGCTTCAATTAAAGGATATAATCATTGTGCACCTAAGTTATTTTATTTGATTTCCATAATTGCTACCTTGCATTAGTTGTAAATGTTTGTTTGATTATAGTTTCCATGTAATCTTGATTTGTAAACCTTATTTAGTTTATTGTATTCCTATATTTTAAGCAATGGAATAACACAAGAAAAGCTGTCAATTCAACAACGTCAAAAAACAAGATCATGTTCTTTTTTGTTCGCATGAGTTCTTATTTTGTCTTGTTTTTTGGCAGTAATCTCACCGACAATCGGGTGTTGTCTCTCCGACGAGTTTCTAACATTTCTTAAGAAAACCAATCCAAGTTGAGCCTTTCTCTAACATTTCTCAAAACAAAACCAATCCAAGTTGAGCCTTTCTCTAACCTTTCTTAAAACAAAACCAATGCAAGTTGGTCCAAAGGCTTGGGGAAGGGGAATTGAGTCGGGTGCGAGCCAAAATCTCATCCTTGATTTCAAGAAACCCACATAGCTTATTCAGTTTTCAACCCCACACTCACATCCACACTCTGGTTATCATTGTGAGCCGAGTCTTTATTACTGCAAATTTGTATAGCAGCTGCCACTTTTCTATATGTTAGTTAGCTTATTTGTCCATTCTAATTTCAGCAATTACAAAAACCATATACAACAACAAAGTAGTGAGTAAAATTCATTTAAGAAGGAGCACTCTCATTTCATCATGTCCAACCAAGAATCACAAATGCAAAATCACCAAAGCTACTGCCATACCGTGTAATCACAAATGCAGAACCACCGTTAAAACAATATATACTTTCATAACCTACAACAGCACCTCAATTCTTACAACAAAACGCACCCTTCAAAGTCCATTCTAACACCCAACACATCCTCATCATTTTACAATGCCGTAATATTCACAACGTACACCAACACTATCCCCCACATAACACATACAA